CAGAAATTTTAGTGGTTGTGTTAACAATCTGGGAAATTTGGCATCGATTTTGAACAGGCACACGCCCCCGTACCAGCAATGTACATTGAAAACTAAAATACTATGAACAAAAGGCTTGTAGAAGAACGATAATATGGTTGTGTCAATCTAAAATAACAAAGAAGACATAAAAAGTATAGCCACTGTTGTCCTTTCTTGTAGATGTAATCAATATTACTGTTCCAGGTGATCTATCACTGTGCCAAGATATATTCCTCAACTCTATCTATGGTTTCGTTATCAATGGCAATTGGGAACAGCTCACTTTTACTTTTCCGAAAATCAATAACCATCTCTTTTGTTTTCTTAACATTTAATTTAAGGAAGGTTAATTTTACACCAATCAAGAAATTTTATGATTTTAGAGCGATGGTCATTCAGAATGCCTTATAAATCCAGCAAATGTGGCGTAATCTGTTAAACAGTACAGTTAAACATTGTGAAAACCTATTGATACAGTCATCTGTATACAAAATAGATAAAACCTGGGAAAGACCACAACCTTGCAGGGCACCAGTGGATATGAATGTTGTTGCTGATTGGGTGTTATTAACAGTTACAAATTGGGGTCTATTTACACGAAAAGATTCTATCCATTTCATAAATAACTCATGGGTTGACAGACATATTACAGAGCGTTCGCATTAAGATATGAGGCTGGATGATATTAAAAGCTTAAGAAAAGTCAGCAAACAGAATTCGTACATAGAAAGGGGAAGTTCTAAATGTTTATAAAAATTGTTTAATAAATTGATGGTTGGGTCCTCGACACCTTGCCCAGCCCTGTAGGCAAAATGAAAAGGGTCGAGAAGGTGTTCTGTTTCTTGCTGGAGCAAATGCTTCACAGTTCTTTCCAAACACTCAAAATCACATCTATAGATAATTTAAAATTGATCTCTCTGTTACGACCTCCAATTTTAGGTTAACATGGGTTCTCCTTTGGTCGAAAGTTTGTTACCTCCGAAATGCGTGTGTCATGAGTTGCACATGAGTGACCAACGACACTCACATCCATGTCACACCTCACACGCATGGTTCACGGGTTCCACGTGAGTGGCCAACGCGACGCACACAGGTTGCGTTATGGGTTGCCCACCTATGTAAGGGCAGTAGTGTACCTGTATGTGAATACGGTTCAAAATTCAATATGTCCTGTTATTTTTGCGGGAGACATTCACCAATAAGTTATCTCATAGGCGAGATAATTGTCTTACTATTCACCATGTTCAGGTGAATTTGCACCTATAACAATACATGCTTGACACAAGGTAATGAATGCCTGGCAAGAATTAATCCAGATATCTTTAGTCATGATTTTAAAGTCTGAGGTGGAAGCGGGTAAACTGGGCACAGGCCGATCATTCAAATTCTGTCATGTGTCTGGTACTGAGAATAATTAACATGTTATAACTTCAGTAAGAGGAATCCACTCAGTAGTGGAAGGTTTCATTTGGGAGACGATTTCACCTGCTGTTTTTTATCTTCTGTTATAAATTCAATATTGGTCAAGAATTTGTAATAAAAAAACAAACAGAACCAAACTATGAAATCTGCAAAGTTGTTAAGTTGAGTTTTAGTACCCTTTAAGACATTATACTCAAGAGGGAAAACAAACCCAGGTCATCACGATGATAGGCAGACGCTTTAATTTATTTAACAGGACTGCAATGAATACCCTATGAGACAAATACAATATGTTTCATGAATATAGGGTAACTAATACAAAAATATATTCATGAATACTTTATGTCTAATAAAATAATATGTATTTGCTTAGGTTAAATCATTTCAGTGATATTTTTTTCGTAAGGTAAAAAGCAATACATCGCGACAATGCTGTTTACAGCCTAATGACAGCATAATAATGGACTTTGTAGTTACTAGCTTGAATATATTCCAGTTTGTGTATCACACTTTGATAAATATCAAACTAGTTCCATGTGAAAAACAATTTTTCCAAGTATTTGTTTCTAGTGACCACAAATAGCAAATTGAATCCAAGAAGGAATGGGATTCGAATTAATGAACATGCAAGTGAATCATAACTAATATGTAACCAGCGGGGTTCCCCAACACTGCATGTTGTGTCGGATTTCTGAAACTGAACAATTCCAAAGGTTTCATGCCTGCACTGATACTGAGATTGTTAGATTGAAATGTATCTTTATCTCTAGAAGTGAATTTGATGTAAAGAGAAGTGCACGCAGCATTGAAAAACAATGAAAAAGGCAGATGAATGATGATGGCTTAGATGGTAGACTAGAGAATTCCTAATCTTCTGTAATTTAGAAATGATGCACACAGATATGACATTCTATCAGTTACTACCATTATAGAATGTCAAGGGAGTGAGGGAGTTTTCGGTCTCAATTATCTACCCATCCAGTGTCCACTGGGTGATAAAGACCAAAAAGCCATGAAAATTACATGAATGGGGCCTTGAAACACCAGGTGTCTGTGAAAAGGGTGTCCTGCCCTAGAAGCAGCACTAGACACTCTCACAACTTACATAAAAACAAGTGTTTGCTTCCTGCATGACGCTCCATAGTACTCTTGCCTCACAGAAGCAAGTCTGGACCACACAATCTCATGATGGACCACACAATCCAGTGACAAGACTGTGCATTTACCAATTGTTTTAATTTAGAAAACAATATCAATTTTTAATTGCATTTAATGTGTTTGTGTGCATTGATTCCGTTACTTATAGGTTTTGGGGAAGATTTAATGTGTTCTTTGGGCAGTACAGTGGGAGTGGTATTTATTGTCTCAGCCGCAGATGACTCAGCACAGATAAATGCTACCAAGCTTATGATGAAACTCAGGGACTTCAGTTCACCAGCAGAAACATGGACCCAGTCCATCACTGTTCAATAACATACTGTCTAAAAGAAAATATGACAAAGGGAAAATGAGGCAGCCAATTTGCCTCCTTAATACATCATCTAAGATGGCAGCAGCTCCATTACAAACCAAACTAAAGACATTCAAGGGGATTAAAGAGTTCAGTTATCAGAGTTCACCAGATTGATGCATTACTGAATGGAGTATATACAGATTCGTATCAAATGCCTGCTGGTTGATTTTTTATTTAAAAAAGCAATTTTGACATGGGAACCTCGACTCTTATCCTTTAATAATATTTGTTTACAATGACATAGCTATTATAATTTGCATTAACGTAGCACTCAAAATTCTTGTAATTATCAGAACCCCTCTGATGGTTTTAGACATGTTTGATTCACATACATTCCTAAACCTGGTGTACCAATACATTTGCTTCCAAATTGAGGACCAGTATCACTATTTAACATATCTTACAAAAATGCCCCAGTGGCAACTAAACAAACTTTGCCAAGCATCATGCTTGAAGATTAGACAGGTTTGTGTCTAACAGATACACAGGCGAATGATAACCGGTTAGTGAATGATAACCTGGATTACAACAGAGAGGGCATAGAAATACAATACATTCTACTTTTGATAGACTTTGAAAAGGTGCTTGATCTGGCAGACTAGAATGTTTTCAATTTTCTTTACATTTCATGAACTCAATTCAACATAGATTGGCTAGAAACATTAAAAAAGATTATTTCTTCTTGTGTACTGTTGAATGCTTTTGAAACTAATTTTGTCAAAATAACAAGAGATCCTCCTTTAGTGTTAAATGCTGCACGTTATAATATTGATATAGGTGACATAAAAAACCTTGTATCACAAAGATAGCTCAAGTCTGATCCTCGAAGAAACAGAAGTTTGTCTTGAGAAGAATTTTTAATGCATCATCCTAGACTGTAGAACTTAATTTTTAGTAAAACCCAATTAATAAGAATGGGGTAGTTTATAAATTCCCAAATAACAAGACGTTAGAATGGCAACTAGATCAAGATAAATCTTTTTAAAATCAAAATTATCCTGCATTCCAAACTTTCAACAAAATTTTGTGCACACATTTCTTCTGAATTCTCTATGTTTGAGCAAAATAAAGCTTATTTTCTGACAACTTCAGTGAATGCATGATAAGATTGTTATATATATATGTATGTATCTAAATACTTTTTGCCAGAGTTTCAGTAAAACATTACTAATATCACATGCTGTACGTATGTTTCTAAACCAACTGATGGTACTTGAGCAGGGGGGTGGGTAACGGGGAAGTAAATTCCTCCCAACCTAGTATAATATATAGTCATCATAATACCAATTACAATATTAAATTGAACTATATATCCCCTTGCAGACAAGCTAACAAGTCTTAAACATTCAGAGAATGCGGAGATGATTACACACTTAAAGCCACCATCAACTGTTATTGTTATCATCAATGAAGCACCTTCCACAGCATCTCCAATGACAAGTTTCATACATAATACATTACAGTGATCTTTGCTGTCCATTACCTTCATATTACATATCCATGTACATGTACAAAGAAGATTGTATACTTATCAAATCTGGGAATAGAAATGAAATGCAGAGGGAGTTTATCCTCTTGATAGGTGTTCAGATATTGTCATCAGTTGTTTTGTGATTGCACCTGCAACTTGGTTATTTTCATGATCAATTTCTGTATTTGTCTATATACCGACTGCAAAACATACTTTAATTACGCTGAAAACATGAGTCTAGTAATTTGTCAATAAAGTATTCCCTTGTCCAAGGAGTTGCGACCTCTATAAATATTATCAACGTGTCATGTTGATCACCATGGACACACTGTTGCTCAAGGTAGACTTGTAATTTTATGACCAATATGTGAAATGTATTATAAACACAATCGACACAAAACATGCATACATGTATACCAACTTGACTTACTTATAACAAATATAACCGCTAGTTTTAATGCCAGTAAAGTATACTTATGGTGCTGGCAAACATAATCAAAACCATTTCCTTGCCCCGGTCTGTAGCAAATCGTCCTGTCAGTGTTAATATTGATATCAGTAGATCGTACTTACCCCAATTTTGCTCCTCCGAGTTCTCAATTGACTGAGATTCTTTTCCCGAAGCGAATATACAAACATCCCATTGAAAGAACGTGCATAATCTCTGACCAAAGGTAGAAGTTTCATAAGTTTCTCACTGGGCGCGGCCATCTTTGACTGGAGACTAAAACGTACTTCCTTTGACAGAAGAGTGATTATACTAGCAGACGACACACGCGCCAGCGTTTATAAGAGCTCCCCCTTTCACGCGTTTTTAGCCGTTTCGCACTGTCAGTAATATGAATTGATCGCGTGAATGATGGACCAACAGATATAAATCTTGATCGCTTGATTTGCTTGACAAGGTAACAAGGATGAAATTGAAAATTAGCTGCTAATGTGGTTCAAGTGTCTGCTGATGATGTCCGACTTGCTCTTTGGACCCGTTGACAGCACGTGGACACCTCAAGGTGTGAGGATTATATACATGCTAGAGTTCTATATCCGCGCTGAAAGTGTAGATTGTGACTGACTGATGTGGAGGCGTTAGAAATGTGCCCATTTTAATAATGCCTACCGATAGCTGTCTTGTGTTTTGCGTCAGTGGGCTGCATTTACGAAGCATTGGCTGACGTGCGGTTCTCGAATCAATAGACACAATAGAAAGGTTGCTGTGAGCTTAGCGCCTATCAAAGTTGCTCAACTTTAATTTGTCCAGCCCAATTCTGTACGTGCACCAAGTGTACGCTACTTATCCCCCGAACTGCGGATGATACATGTATGCGTGGCAATGAAACAACCTACGTCAGTGCCATTAAATACATTCAGCAATAGCAATCAGACACGAACACGAACGGTGTTTGACATTTACTTTCAATTCCCATATCAACCTGTAAGGACTTGAATCCTGAATCTAACGCCCAACATTTAGATTGAAAAGCGAACAAACTACAGCTGTGAAAAGAGATCTATACCTCAACTTCATTTCAATGTTATATTTATTTTAACATTTATGATATATTGGAACTGGCAGAACATAATGCAAGTAAAGGTCACATACAGAATGTGTAGGTACAGCAGATATTTCACAATAATCCACTGAATGTATATATATGTCAGGCGCGTAGCAAGCCATATTTTTTGTGTAAGCCCGATAGGTTACAAAGCTTCATATTTAGATAATATTGAGGGTTTGCCCATGCAGCCATTTGAGTAAAAATCATGTGTTAGCCCGGTTTTGATTATTATGGTAGCTACGCCCCTGTATATATGTCAGTACATGTTTGAGATGTATCTATCTATATAAATTATATATATACAGTATACAGTTATGCTGCTCTGTCTATGAATGGATCCGTTGAGTGATGTATGCTCATATCCACCAATAAATATAAAGCTGACAATTGAATGTTTACCCATTTTATCCCTCGGAACAATAGAAATTGTTTTAAGTAATCCGCACTGCGATTGATGACACTACTGTTTACAATGTTTGCGACCAGATCCATGGCAACGTCATGTCATATGGGGTTGTCGCAAACTGAAGAGGGCGTCATCACGTAAAGACGATTTTATATGACGATGTTCTAACAAAAGGGTACCTGGGCGTATATTTCTTCATTTCTTGTTTAAAGACCACGGGTAACAAAACTAATCCGTCCTGGTCACAATCAGAGGTCATATGTTTTTAGATATGTTTGTTATACGGACCTATATGATTGCTAAAAGCATGAAAAAAGGTTGTTGTTGTTTTTTTCATGTTGCCGCTGTACTGTCCGCTGTGTTATCTTATTTACTATCAGGTTTCAACATGGCATCATACTTCTTCGCCATGTCAAAGGTCCCACAACCTGTGAATTTTAGCTGGTAATTTTGCAGCCTTACATTTCAATAAGTTTGATGAAGCTTGGTTGTTAGGATCACAAAATACATTATATACTCATGGAAACGAATAAGGGAAAGCATGAAAGTACAAGTGTTTCTTTCTTTATTTCCAGATTTGCACCCACAGTGCAATATAAAGCATGACAAGAAACCCGGAATAAAGTGTAGTAACACACTTGCACTTTCGTGTGTTCCTTTATTCGTTTCCATGAGTATATGTTATTGAATTATCATAAAAGAGAGGCAATGTATCTTTAATTTAAGTATATCTTAATGTCGTACCTGAAACATTTGAAAGTTGGCACTTCCTTACAAAGAAAGGTATGCTCATAATATTTCCTCAAATTCATTATTGTGGATACCCGTGAAGGTCCGGGTTAGAATATTGATCTTCAGTAACCCATACTTGTCGTTAGAGGCGACTAACGGGATCGGGTGGTCAGGATCGCTGACTGGGTTAACATATGTCATCGCATCCCAATTGCGTAGATCGATGTTCATGCTGTTGATCCATGGATTGTCTGGTCCAGACTCGATTATTTACAGACCGCCGCCATATAGCTGGAATATTGCTGAATGCGGCGTGAAACTTAACTCACTCATCCACTCATTATTGTGGAGCTCATGTGGCAATAAAGTGACTTTTAAATATTGATGTTCTTTTGTTGTTTTTGCAATATTTGGAATGACAATTTCACAAAAATATGGCATGATTGTTCATAAAATAAATATATAAAACAACACGGAATTCAAATAAATCTAATGGTGTCATTTGCTGTAAACAATTTGGGGATACTGACACTACATTATTTCACGATTAGGCCCTGCGGCGTTTAAAGTCCACACCTGGTAACATAGGTTTGTTGTAGTTTCCTTTAATTTCATGAAAATATGATAGCCTTAATAAATAAGACACTGTTAGATTCCGCAGCTCACCAAGAAACAGCACCAAGCTGAATTCACTTGGTATAGTACATGACGAGTTAAATAACATTAACTTGGCAAAGTCACTCAATATTGCTGTCACCCATGTTCTGATGAAGGCCAAAGAGTCAAAGACTCAAGTAGACCATCTAGAAGGTATGTATCCGTGGAATAATGAATGCAGATATCATTATAATCAACTCCTGCAGCATACGATCATTGATCTGAAGTGTCTCAACTCTCCTAGTCTTATAGGTGTAATTAGACCTTGTTAACAGTCACTAGTTCCATGACTTTGTCCAAGTGTATAAGATGTTGAGTGTATCAAGAGGTCTTGCTGTTGTGGGTATGATATAAAATGAATACTGGTAACGTTCAAACGCATGTGGCTCTGGTACACAAGCAAACTATACTGAAAGGCAAAAGAAACGTCGTAATATTGGAAATGACATTTATGTATCAATGGAGGATTTGAACCTATATGGGTTTTTAATATACACCGGAAGTCAAGTTTGAGGAAACATGAATCGTGGTCGTATAGCCTGTTTTGCCCAATAAAGAATTGTTTGAGATTGAGGTTTGAAATGTTTTTCTTTGTGGAAAGGGAAGAGTTCACACAAACACAACATTGAAATCGAGATGCACGTGCATTATGCATGCATTCAGGCATAAATTGCCGGCTTGAATGGCAATCGTTCACTTGTTTTCTGAACACAGCAGCTATGGCTAGGTTAACGGTTTCTAGTTGATGCTGATCTCAAATGTGTGCTTTTCAACCATTACAATGGTAACACCCAAAGTGGAATAACGGTTTGACTTCTTCCTTTACTTTTGTTCAGTTGGTTTTAGGAATTTCGGCCATTTTACAAGAAGTAGTGTCCGTAGCCCAAGATACAGCTGCCTACAGTTTCCCTTGCCCTTACTTCACTGATGTGTCAGACATGCGCCACTAATGGGCAGTTTTGAAAGGAGTGGATGATACTTACTAGTTACTGATTACCAAGTATTTTCAGAAAAGAAATTGCCAATTTTATTTTATATATCTTGTTTTTGATCATACAGCATCTGTTCCCCCAGACAGAGAAAAAGACTGTGTATTTTCAGTTCTGTGTGTGACAGAACGATTAAAATGTATACCTACCAAAAGTGTAGAAGTATATATAACACAATAGCAACACAATCTGGTTTGCGGGTTCACGTTCGAGCAAAAAGTGGAAATGGTAAAGTACCGAAATTCGCATCGTGAAGCAGGCGCACATTGACACATACCTCGTAATGAGTACCATAATTAACGTGATTTGCCTGTGAAGGAAGTCTGTTTCATACGCCCACACATTGTATTATATGAACGGTAGGAATTCGCCCGGGTATTTAAACCATCTTTTCCCATTTTAGATACAAAACGCTCAATCAACTAGACGTTTATTATTTATAGGATTACCAGTACAGGGAAGTCACCCCAAGGAATGGCTGCATCAACACAACCTATTCAACATGCCCACTCGTTTCAGATTAATTCCACCGTTTCATTCAGCTGAAAATACATTTGTTACATGGTCACCTGAAAGACGGGTATTGATTCGCGGTGTAAATATGCATAGTGTTATGAATAATATGAATACACTAATGCAGTGAGCTGATGAGAAATGTTGCACAACCTCATTACTACAGTGTTCATGGAATATCGTATCTCGTCATACTGTGACCGAACTTACACGTTCTGGAGCTGTTGTTCTATATTGTGTTTTTCTTTTTTCATTTTTAGTGATTGTTAATTTGTTAATGATGTTTCGATTGTAAAGATCTCTCCTTGTACCGCATAGAAACTCAGGTGAAGTCCAGGTTTGAAGTGGCCAAACAAATCAGCAGTACCGCTGTTTGACGGTGGCCAATATTAAACTGGTTTTCTTTATATATTTGTTGTTTAACGTCGCACTCAGCAACATTCCATCCATATGACGACGGTCTGTAAATACTCGCGTCTGAACCAGGCAATCCAGTGATTGAAATCATGAGCTTCAATCCACGCAACTGCATCAACAAAGATAGCGAATCTGACCATCCGATTCCGTTAGTCGCCTTTTAGCATGGGTTGCTGCAGACCAATTCTGACCCGGATCTTCATGGGTATTTTATATATATTCGAATTTGGACCAAACACATTAGTTATTATTATATAATGACAAGCGTCCTACATCGCCGGGGTAGTACGACACCCGGTCAGCCCGCTCGCCTTACCTGACCACCAGTGTCCTGTCACGACCAGCATAGTAGAAGGGGACTAGGTGTACCCCCAAAATCCCTCGCGATGTGTTCATAAAGATCAGGTTAAAGAAAACTGTGGCATATTATTTCTGATTCGTATAAGATAATCAACTACAATTGTATGACTATTATTTGATTAATTGTCTATAGTAAAGTGGCACGAAAGGTGTTGTTAAAACGAAGTTGTCACTCGGACAAAACTGTAACAAAACAGGTTTTTGGAATCTAAAATAGTGATTTAAAGGCGCTTCATTTAAGGGGGAATAACTCTTCCAGCACTAACAGTGATCTTTGCCATTGACTGTCTTAAAATGGGTTTTTGGACTCTAAAATAGGGATTTAAAGGCGCTTCATTTAACATGATAAGGCGATAACTCTTCCAGCATTAACAGTGATCATTGCCATGAGATCCCTTTGACTTGACTGAATAA